GTCCCCCCAACCTTTTATTTTTTCAATATATATATAACTAAAATATTACTGTTGTTTCTTACCATGTAGTCAATTGATGATGAGTTCAAGATCTGAAATAATGGCGAACACAAATTAATTTTATCAAACTTCAGTAGTTATGTCAATTGTAGAATATATTTATAATTTATTGTATCAGATTTAGAATGCAACTTTATGCATTATATGTATATAAGATATGATATTATTAAATATTGTATATTTTTTCTAGAGGACTTAGTGGAGTCGAGTTGAATACTTCATGATCAAGCTCGTGTGTTGTTTAATAAGTGTGTCGGCTTGGCTTCACTCATTAAATAAACGAACAAAATTGTGAGCTTGAGCTTGATTCATTTAATAATTTGATTAGCTACTCGAGTTTTCACGGATCAATTCAAGTTATATTAAAAAAATAATATTTTAAATGACAATCCCATTCTCCTAAAAAAAAAAAGGATCCGCCCTTGTTTGCATTTTTGTCTTGTTTGGTACTTGAGTGACAACCGATCTGTGGTCGTCCTCCTAAACTTTCCATTCGTGAGTAGTTGAACATATAGTTGCCCACTACGCTTTTGTATGTCGTTGTCGGCCGCTAAACACTAGTTTTGGTCAATGAATTTATATTTATCCATAAAAAAAAAATGCATCCCGAAATTCCATTTTCTCCGTTTCTTTTGTATTTTGGTGTTGGTGTTGGGTCCAATCCACCCCGGTACCCCACTTTTAACGAACACAAGGACTGAGTTGTATTTATTTTTAATTATATCTTTATATTCCTCTATTTCCTAGGCACGCACACACACCAGACGCAGTCGTCAATACGCATCTTCACACACAAACAAGTGTGTGTGTGTGTGACACTCATGTCATGCTTCTGGTCCTCTCACCTCACCTATATATAACTATTTATTATATTATTATTTTTAATTATAAAAACATTAAAAGTGCACAGTAATTTATATCTTTGCCTCCCATAGCATTTTATCTCTCTTTTCATATCTCCAAACCCAAGCCTTCTTCCCCCACTTTTCTCACTCTAAAACC